GTCTCAATCAGCAAAAGATGCTGCTGAAACTCTAATTACATTTGTTTTGTTTTACCTCATTCCTCCCATAGCCATAATAAATGTGCATGTCCTGTGGCTTGGAGGATTAAAGTAGTTGTCTTGCAGAATTGGCCTTGTGGTTGTAGCAATACCAGCGTTTCCATCCTGGCACCCAGCAGCATTAACTCTCCAATGCCTTTTTTTTTTTTTTTTTTCAAACTAAAAGCTTAATTATCTTGCTTGTGTTTGACCATTTATTATCACAGTGCCATAGGCAGCACAATTGTATCAAGTAAATGAGCCGCTCACATCACTTAGATGTCTCCTGCAGTGTCTGACTGAGGCTAAGAGCTTTTGGTGCCCWCAGAACAAGCCGTGGGGAGCAGCAGGGTCAAGGGAGCTTCTTTTTAATCTTCTTCCCATAGGACATTTCCCGGAGCCTTGTTTTCTAAGTCCTCCCTGTGTCTTTTGGGCCTGCTCCCTTTACTAGCTCTTCAGATGTCCTGTAAAATGAGTTACTTCGAAGGTTTCTGGTTGGAGTTGCTCCTCACCTTGCCTGCCCCGTTCCTAATTTACTTTTCAGTTATTTTTCTCATATTGATGTGACGTAACTTAATGAGTCCTCCATAGATTTGTTTTAGTTATGAGATTAGCTATAAATTCCAGTTTATTGCCTATCCATGTCCTTCTCTCTTCCCTGATTCGTTATGCTGCAGGTTGTCCCTTCTTACTGTGTCCACTGATGTTTCTGATGGAGGAATGGGCTTTCTGACAGCACAAAGGAGTGCCCAGCAGTGCGGCCCAGGGCTGCAGTATCCTGCCAAAAGAGGAGTGGTGGCCTTAAGCACTGCAGTAGTAGTAAAACTGATACTAAGGGTAATTTTCCAGTAGTTCCTGGATGGGTTGCAGGGTTATGAGTGTCCTAAATGACCCAGTAATGAACCAATAGGTGTCCTGTAGTCCTGGCAGAGACCTGTTTTCTTCTTGCTTTCCTGATGCACTAAACCAGGAGATGGTTCTCAAGCCAGCTCCTTATTTACAAGCCTGGAATMTTTTAATGAGGATCAGAGGCAGGCATGGGAGTTTGTGGGCAATATGGAGCCCCTGATGTTAGCAGCCCTAAATCAGGCAAAACAGAGCCAGAGTGCAGGAATGGATGAAGCTTCCAATTAGGGAATYGTTGCACATAGGGAATGCCAACAAACTAAGGACCTCTGTTCCATGGGGCTGCAGTAATTCCAGCAGAGCTTATTGTACACATGGTTTCCTGAATTTCCTGGGGTGTGCACGTTAAAAATCATGAATGAAAATTCCTGCAGGGGTGGGCTATCCCTGGAAGGTTAGTGATCAATCCRGGATCGTTGCTTCTGGCACAAACTGCGGTTTTCTCCCTTCCGCGGGGAGCTTGTATCTGTTTCCTGCATCTGTCGCCCATCCCTCGCTGTGAATGGAAAGCAAGTAATTAATTTTTGCTGTTGTTAGCGATTAATTGCCCTCGCCAAACTTTGGAGGACCTATTGTCTCCTTCAGACATAATGTTCTTGGGAAAAAGTCTCCCTTATTGTAACCTCTTGTGCAATCTTCGCTGGGATGATGAATACGTGTTGGCAAGGAGGCGCTTTCCGAATGAAGAATGTTGCTGGAGAGCCCGGGAGCGCRGCGGGAACGCCGGCCCGTGCCAGGGCTCGTGGAGGATGGCCAGGCCGGAGGGTGACGCYGGGAAAGCCTTTCCCGCTGCCGCCGGAGCCCCGCGCCAGGCCCCGTCTGCCACGACCTCCACGTACCTGCTAACCATTGAACGAGGGCTTATGGATGTAAGTTGAAAGCCAGGCAGTTCCATCTCCAGGTGAGGAGGAACTTCTTCACTGTGAGGGTGMCAGAGCCCTGGAAGAGGCTGCCCAGGGAGGCTGTGGAGTCTCCTTCTCTGGAGATCTTCCCAACCCGCCTGGCTGCCGCCCTGTGCCCCGTGCTCTGGGTGTCYCTGCTGGAGCAGGGGGTTGCACTGGGTGATCTCTAGAGGYCCCTTCCAACCTTGAACATCCTGTGATTCTGTGGCTTTCCCTGTTGGGCATCTGAGCCCGGAGGTGGCTTTCCTTCTAGAAAAGTCAAGAAAAGTCTCTTGGAAAGCTTCCTTCTACCAATACAAGGCTGGGGGAATTAACGGGGAGCGTGTAGCCCAYGCACCTCCCAGGGAAAAGTCCCTCTCCCCATTTCTCTCCGTCACCCACAGGCCCGGAGTCCTGCAGAGCTGGCTCTGTCCCCACATAGCTTGATTTCTTGGTCTCATTTATGGTCATCTTTTCCTCCTCATTCCTAAAATRTGCTTGCCTTGCAGTGGAGCACAGGAAGTTCCGTCTCCTTCTCTGGAGATCTTCCAAACCCGCCTGGCTGCCGCCCTGTGCCACATGCTCTGGGTGTCCCTGCTGGAGCGGGAAGGTTGGACTAGATGATCTCTAGAGGTCCCTTCCAACCTTGAATATTCTGTGATTCTGTGAAGTGCTGAGAAAACAGGCCATGTAACAGGGAAAGCTCCTGGAGTGTGGGAGCTGACCTCAGGGAAGGTGAGCGCCCGGGAGCAGGGGCTCGTTTTTCCTTTGTTTCTTTTTTCCGACAGAGGCGATGGCAAGAGATGACAGTGATGGTGTCAGTATGGGGGGAAAGGGCTGTTTTTGGAGATCGTATCTCTACACAGGTGATATAAACCAAGCCTATTTCAGCCTCTTTAGGTCCCCAGAGAGTCAATGCAGCTAAGAGACCAGGAAGTGGTTTGTGGAAGCCGTTCTCTTAGGAATCGCTAGGGTAATTGCTCACCAAGCATTTATTCTCCTGGAAACCCACTGTAGACAAAACCAAAAAGAAAAGCCCGTAACATCCCAGCCATCCCAGAGACCTTTCGACCTTAAATATGGAGAGTATTTGATTTAGGAGACTTAAAGCCTGGTGATCTAAGGCTAGATTGCAGCTGGTTWAGTGGGCAGAGTGTGTTAGGAGCCCAGAGGCTTTGGACGATGAGAATGCTGAGCCCTGCGATGCAGATTTGCTCATACTTTAGAAATGTGTTCAGAAGAAATAAAAAAGAAAGGAAAAAACATTGTGGGAAATTCTTTCCTTCATGCATAATAGTTTTTCGTTGATTTAAAATTGTCCTCACCGATGTGTTGATGCCAGTGAAATATTTCAGCTATAGGAAATGTGAAACCAACTCCTGCCTTTCTATGAATTATGAGTCATAAATTGTATGAAAAATATTCAACCTTGCTCTAGTTATTCCCCAAGCAGAACCTCTGAGTAATGGAGAAAACGCTGCCATTTTGGGGGGGAGCAGGAGGAGACTGATCTAAGCAAAGCGAAATGCCCACTGCCAGCATGTGGCTTTGTGTGGAGTGTGAAGTAGTGTCAGCTACGACGATCCTCTCTTGCTAAGAAAGAAGGAAGCCAGAAAGTTGCATGTCCTTGCAGTTCAACTGAGCAAGGTTGTTCCTTGCCACAAATGATGTGGAAAATGAGCATTTGTGTCACAGAATCACAGAATCACAGACTGGTTGAGGTTGGAAAGGACCCGTAGAGATCAGCCAGTCCCACCCCCTGCTCCAGCAGGGACACCCAGAGCACGGGGCACAGGGTGGCAGCCAGGCAGGTTTGGAAGATCTCCACAGAAGCAGACTCCACAGCCTCCCTGGGCAGCCTCTTCCAGGGCTCTGGCACCCTCACACTCAGGAAGTTCCTCCTCACATGCAGATGGAACTGCCTGGGTTTCAACTTGTACCCATTGCCCCTTGTCCTGTCACTGGCCACCACTGAGAAGAGCTTGGCCCCTTCCTCCCTACATTCCCCCTTCAGGTACTTATACATGTTAATCAGATCCCCTCTCAGCCTTCTCTTCTCCGGAGCTGGGGCTGTGTGAGTCCAGCCAGGGTGCAGGGCTGCTGGGTCCTTGTGCCCCTGGGTCAGTTCAGTGTTTCACATACCGATTTTATGAGTTGCCTTCTGGAAGTCATTGTGGAACTCAACAACTAGTTTAGACTAGTTGTTCTGATGGCCAAAGTTCAGTGCATTAAGCTGTGAATTAAACACTTGAGCTCTGTATTTTGGGTTCTCCATATCTTCAGGAAAAAAAATGTGCAGCTTTGTGAGCTTTGTGTGAATTTTGTTTTTCATCCTATGGTTAGAGTCACTGATGAAAGGTATTTGATGTAACTAGGCCTTAAGTAGGTATATAACACAAAGCCCAGGAGAGTGTGACTTCCTGACTGTAGAGCAGGGCACTCTAACAGTGGACATGGTAGAGAAGTTTAATTAGGCCTCATTTTTGCCATGATTTTAGTTCTTCGGTTGTGTTTGGCACTCCTGTTCATGTTTTAGTGATGGATGTGTGCCCAAAACAATAGAGCCAAAAAGAATAATGGTGTAAAGTCCTGGCTAATACACTAGTCATTTTCCAAAGAGATAAGGATTCATGTCCCAGCTGCACGGAAAATAGCAGTTTTCCTCTCTGGACTCTTGTGGGGCCAGGATTTACTCGGTAAGAATCAGTCTGTGCCTCATTAGCTTCTTGCGGCATCCATGAAAGCTTAAAATTTTTACTAAATATTAACATTCAGGTGTGACTAAGAGATATGCTGATGGACTACCAAAAGCTAAATATTTCTTTCTTTCTTTAATCAAATTATACTGCCTTTTCCAGATCTGATTCAAAGTTTATTCCAAGCCGTCTTAAAGTACACGTTTCAATTTGATGTTTCTTTAATTGCCAGAGTTTGTGTGGGTTGTGTTTTTGTTGGGTTTTTTTTCCTTTTAATTTTTGCTTTGTGTAAGTCATACAAATGTTTTCAAAACATGAGCCCAATTGGCTTTAGGCAGCTGTGATTTTGTGAAAATGAAAAAAAAAGGTTCCATCAGTGTCAGAAAGCTTCCTTCTCTCTATCTTGAGATGCAGCAGTTGGGTTTTATCTTGCTGTTAATCAACTCTTGTTTAATCAACTCTTGTTTGCTCTCTTTAGGAGATGGCTGTCCGAGCACTGAAGCAGACAGGGAGCAGAAGTATTGAGGCAGCTCTGGAGTATATCAGTAAAATGGGCTACTTGGACCCTAGAAATGAGCAGATAGTCCGTGTGATTAAGCAGACCTCACCAGGTAAGCCCAAATTTCTTCTATGTTGTATGCTTTCTTCTTGTAAAAAACCTCAAGGTATAATCATGAATTGAGTTTACTGAATGCAAGTGATTTCCACACAGCAAATTTCCTATCTCAGTCACCTCAGTAGCATCTTCCTTCTTAGATCCTGATCAAATTGAAGATTCGTTTTGGAAAACACATTGAATTTGGGAAAGTTGACAGAGAGGCATGGCGAGAAATGAGTAAAGCTGGAGAAGAAAGTGCCTGTCCAGTTTACAAATAAAAATGCCTGGAAAGTGTTTTCTTCAGTACAGCCACTTCTTTTCTATTTTTTTTTTTTCATAAAAAGATCCAGGGGCAGCCACATACAGAGAAAAGGGAAATGGGCTTAATTTTCAAAGTTGCACTCCTAAGAATGGAGCTGCAAATGTAGTGGCAAATGGTGCCTGGTGGTTTGTAGGGAGCAGCTCCACTACCGTTTCTACCAGTCACAGGTTTTCTGTTGTATTATTTGAGGAAATTTTGGAAAAGCCTGAGAAGATGTTTCCTGAAGTTTTATCCTTTCAAGTAGAAGAGCTTTTGGGATGGTTAGAATGCAAAACCTTACAAGGCTCTCTGGAAACTTCATCTGCAGTCTGAGAGTTGAAAACTTTTGCTTTTGCATTCCCTAGGCTGGTATATGCAAACTTTAATAGTAAAGCTCACAAGAATATTAGTGTACAGCCAGGACTCAAGTAAAACCAGATATTACTGTGGGACACAGTATATAAAATAGAAAATATAAAAGTAGTTTATCCTATGACTACAGTCAGTGAAACACATGCTTATATAAAACCGTTCACAGGGTAGAGACACAGCCACAGTATTTGTTGTGTTGCATAGAGATGTGTGAACAAAAAAATCATTTGCAACTAGCACATCTGGTATCTTTGCAGATCCAAAATGTTTCTCGGTCAGACCAGAATAGACTTAGTGGTATACAAATCTAGGAGATGGAGGTCATGTCTCCCTTGGTATCATCAAAATTACTTGTGCAGCTGTAATATGTCTCCCAGAGGGGGACAGTTATTGCTGCTACTTTTGTTCGTGGCTTCTGGTAGGGGAGAACAAACCCAGTGTGAATCCTGCTGACAGAGAGACATTTCCAGGCCAGAGTCATGGCGTTTTAGGGTGCCTTGGATCAACACAACCTCATCAGTTCATCTCACTGTGCCTGGCTTATGAGGGCAGTGCTGTTGTTACAGTCATGGTGAGCTGGCCCTTGTGGTGTGACAAGCAAGAGAGCTGCAGATTGTAGCCTTTGCCTCAAAGAGCAGGGATTTGGGTGTCTTTCTCAATGTGGTGATGACRTTTTTCCTTAGTGCGGGGACAGCAGCTGCTTCAGTGTGTCGAGCTGGTGCAGAGACCTGTCCTAAGGGTTGACAAGAAGTTAACCGTGAATCACAGAATCCTTAAGATTGGAGGGGGCCTGTAGAGATCATCTAGTCCAACCCCCCTGCACACGCAGGGACACCCAGAGCACGGGGCACAGGGCTGCATCCAGATCTCCAGAGAAGGAGATTTCATGAGTCAGCTTCATGAGGCAGCAGTGCCCTCAAGAAGGCCAATGGGATCCTGGCTGCGTCAGGAGGATGTTGCCAGCAGGTCAAGGGAGGGGATCCTGCCCCTCTGCTCAGCTCTGGTGAGGCCGCACCTGGAGTATTGGGGGCAGTTCTGGGCTCCCCAGGACAAGAGGGACGTGGAGCTTCTCGAGAGGGTCCAGTGGAGGGCAACAAAGATGATTAAGGGACTGGAGCATCTCTCGTATGAGGAGAGACCGAGTGAGCTGGGCCTGTTTTCTCTGGAGAAGAGAAGGCTGAGAGGGGATCTGATTAACATGTATAAGTTCGTGAAGGGGGAATGTAGGGAAGAAGGGGCCAAGCTCTTCTCAGTGGTGGCCAGTGACAGGACAAGGGGCAGTGGGTGTAAGTTGAAACCCAGGCAGTTCCATCTGCATGTGAGGAAGAACTTCCTGAGTGTGAGGG